CAGCCCGGCTGATCAGGAACTGACTTTAGGTGCTTGTCCAGTGCCAGCTTGAAGACTGCCAGGGGTCTGTTGGTAATCCCCCTTGTGTGTGCTGGGAGGCAGTTGAACAGTCTCGGGCCCCTGACACTTATTGTATGGTCTCTTAACGTGCTAGTGACAACCCCTGCTTTTCATTGGGGGATGGTGCATCGTCTGCCAAGTCTTTTGTTTTCGTAGTGAGGTTTTTCGTTGAAAGTTCGGTACTAGTCCCTTAGGATTTTCCAGGTGTTATAATCTGTATCTCTCCCGCCTGTTTTTCCGGGGAATACAGGTTGGGAAACCCCAAAAGCGCCCCCCATAATTGGGGTTTTTTTATCTCCTTTATGCGCGCCGGAAAGTTCCTGTACTTTTTCTGGGTCGGCAATTTCCCCTGCCTTTGAAAGGTTGTTAGATGCAGCAAATTCCAGCCTAATAGAACAAGGACCTGAAAGTGTCATCAGGGCTTGGCCTCCCTAGTTTTGAAGTTCTCTTTATCCATCCTGTCATTTTTCTAGCAGATGTGATTGATAAATTTTATGGTCCTTGAAGGTGAGATCCCCACAAAATCACCCCGGGTCTTTGCTTTGGTGTTTCCTCTTTTCGGGGCTAAATTTGTTTTTTATCTGATGAAGTTTTAAATTTTCCTCATTTTACCATATCGATAATTGAAATTTCTCACGTTGAATTCATATTGTTTTCTGCAGCCCACTGAAAGATTTGGTTATGTCCCCCGGGGAGCCTTGCAGTGTCTGCAATGGAAACGTCATGCAGATGGGGTGTCATCTGCAAAGGAAGACACGGTCTTGGCTGCATCCGTCAGTCGGATAGGGGGGGATGGGGAACAAGAGGGACTAGTACGTGCCTTGGGGGAACAGAGTTTTTTTCACCGTAGCTGCCTCGGACTTTACTCGTTGACGACTACTCTCTTGTTGTTAGTGAGGGAAATATAGATCCACGACTGACTTTTCCTGTATTCCTTTGCGCGCTTTTGTGCGCTATTACGCCATGGTCACATTTGTCGAAGGCTTTTGCAAAGTCTGTATAATTACTCTGCATTTTTTTTGTCTTCTATGTTTTTAGGACCTTTCGTAGTATCCTAGTTGAGACAGACAGGAGCGACCTTTTCTAAACCCTGTGCCCTGGTTGTGTAACGAGGGTTTTTCTGATGGGTGGGATCTTGCTTCTTAGGACCCTTTCAAAGATTTTTATGATAGGGATGTTAGTGCTATTGGTCTGAGTTCTTTGCTGTTTGCTTACTGCCCCCTTGGGGAGTGGGGCTATGTCTGTTTTTTTTAGAAACGAGGACGACCCCGTGTCCATGCTCCCTCTCCATAGGTGGAAAAGGCCTGATAGGGCTTTTTGCATTTCTTGATGAACACAGAGTTCCATGGTCTGGCCCGGGCAGAGTGCAGGGGCATGTATTTATCCCCCTGTTCGAAGTCATTTGGCGTCGGGATAACACGATAGGCTTGTGTTAGTCAAATTTGGGGCTCCTAAAAAAATTTTTCTTTTTGATCTTGCTCTCGTCGGGTTAGGGGGCTTGCTAAAAATGAGTCATTTTGGGGACTTGAGTGCTCACCTTTTCCTTGCTGTCATCTTGGGGACCCATCTTTTTTAAGTGGGGGCCCAATCGGGGCGTTTTCCGATTTTGATTTGCATGGAGAAAAATACTTTGGGTTTTTTTTCGATTTCATTTATGTTTTTGTTTTCCCGCGTTCCTGATCCTAAAGGATTTTTTTAGCTTAATTTCGATCTTGCTTTTTCCTGACCTGTCTCCCTGCGCTTTTCAAAAAATTGCCCTTTTTTAGCCGCTCTTTTTTCTTTTCCGTCGCCTGTAAAGGGACGCCTGTCTTTTTCTATTTACATCTACTCCCCTTTTTTTTAGAGGAAAAACCTTGTCAACATCGAGGCCACCATTAAAAACTGTTTTAGGCAAAGTTTTGGGTCGTGTTGCTTTTAATTTCCCCCGCTTTTACGGTAGGGCTTGGTTTTCTTGGTCCCACTTTTTTTTTTGTTATGAATTAATTTTTAATGCTCCCCCGTACTAGTCTCATTTTGTCGGTCTGGGGGTCCTCGCATACATTCTGAACCTCAAATTTTGTTGTGATCTGATAATTTTTTTTGATATGGTGACATTTTTTTTCAGATCATCACTGTTTGTGAATATGAGTCTAGTGTACTCCAGCCCCAGTAGGCTCTATTTTTTTGCTGGTTTAAATTGAATTTTTTTGCAGAAAATTTAAAAGCTCGTGGAGTGTGATTTTTAATCGAGTGCCTCCTGGTGTTATTACTGCAACAAAATTATTTCTATATTCCTCCCTTTTTGGTGCCTTAAGTTGAAATCCCCCAGGACAAGATGTTGGGTGCAGGCTGGAAATTTTCCCAAAAGTGGTCAATTTTTAAAACTGTTCCGGAAATTTCTGATGTTGCTCCGGGGGCTTTTAGACACCAAAATGACTAGGGTTTTTGGGTTTTCGGACCTTATGCTAAAAAATTCCACTACGTCATTTGAGGGATTAAGCATTCTGTGCAAACAAGTGACTCTGCAATTGATGAATGGTTTTTAAAAACCGACAAGTTGAAGATTGAACACTTTTGTGGACTGAACACATCGACTTCCAGGCTGAGGGACTGATTACCTCATACCCTCCCCCTTTTCCCTTTCCCTTTGGATTGACTGATGAAGCCACGTGGGCGAAACTTTCCTGAATAAAATTCCCCTATGCTGCATAAGTTCTCAACTTCGACTCTGCAATGTACAGCCAACCCCCCCCCCTTTTGCCCGTTCACCCCTGCACATCGTAATTTGTAATCGGGATTTTCCCAAATTTTATTGTCCAAGTGATCCTTTTGTGGGGCCAGTGAAACCGCGAACATTGCCTTTCCTTTCAAGCATCCACGGATGAAAGGGGATTTTGTTGTTTGTTGCGGCTTTAGACCCCGTATATTTGCAAAAAAGAATGGTTTTCGATGGGGGTATTGTTGGATGGGGGGTTTTTTTTTCCGCATTAATCTGTATCTGTTTTTGGAGTGGAGGCCATCGACTGGGTTCCACTCCAGGAATGATGATTTTGTGTACATTTCTGCCATTTCCTGCCTTTTTTTTCCTTCCTGGGACTAAAAAACCCCCTCCCTCTTTTATGGCGTGGGTACCCAGGGTTTTTTCCTGGCCTGGGTTTTGTACTTTTGTCCCCTTTAGATGGGATGCCTGGGAATTTTAAATTATAGCCAGTCTTTTCCTGTACTGAAGGGGTACACTTTTAGGGTGAAAAAGTTTACGGGAAGGGGATTTCATTTTCCTGTTGTCATATGGGCATGGCATTTTCTAGGGTTCATAGTTCCGCCCCATCTTTTTTCCAGTTTTTCCCTTGCCACAGATCCCAATGCATAGTATGTGCACAGGCTTGGTTTCCGCTTGCCTTGGGGTTTCTGTTACTGTTTCCCTTTTGGGGTCCATGTTTCCCTGTTTTACTTCTATCCTCCCTACACCAAAAATGGAGCTCCCCCCAGTTGTTTTTGTAATTTATCCTCATATTGCTTTTGGGAGTCCTCTTGTTTGCTTTTTCCTGCGGTATTTCTAGTTTGCAATATTGGTTTTATTTTTTTTGACTACATTTGTTTCCCTACTAGGGCCCCCGTCCCCTATGGGTCTTTATAGTTTTCCCCTGCTATAATTCCCGACTCCGGGGAAAAAAACTCCAGCTTCACCATTACGTCCCCCAGGACGACTCCAGTTCACCTTTTCTGTCTCCCGGGACAACCTCCACTTCACCATTACTGTCTCCCAAAAGCACCTCCACTTTCATACTGCCCCCGGGACATCACCTCCAGCCTTACATTTTGTGACTACATGGCCCTATCAAGGGCGACCATTAAAACCCCAACTTTTTATGTTCCCATTGTTGTAGAAATTTCCAGGTTTTCTATTTGAAACACTTTGATTTTTGTCCCTTTTAATCCCCTTTGTGATTTTAGTCCACAGATTTTCCTCATTTGGGCAAAAAAAAACCCAAAAATTCTCTGTTTTAATACTGCTTGTAGCTTTTGGGATTCTCACAAGGGGCGTGACCCCAATTTCCACAAAATACAATTTATCCATGTGGAAGCCCGTTTTTTTTGACTGACCACAACACAACAGCTTCATAATGATTTGAATGGTTGTTTTATGCAATTCTGCAACCTTTTAAATATATATTAATAACCTTAAATGAAGCTCTAGCTTTTGTATTTCGTTTCTAACTCTTTTTGTATTTTGGACAGTTACCGTCATGCCCCGTTTTTTAATGTGTGGTTTAAAAGGGCCCTAAAACCCCACCCGTTTCAGTCTGCTTTATTGTCCAACGAAACTGTTTGAAACCAGTCCCCCGGGTTTGGACCATCAAGGGTTCGGGCCCGTAAGGGTTCGGACCTCAAAGGGTCCGGACCAGTCAATTCTCTGATCAGTGGGTCATTATTTAAAAAAATGGTCGGTGATTTGACTAACACATGAAGGATTACTGGGAAATTTTCTACCCGAGTAAAAGTGATTTGACGATACAAAAGTATAACTTTCGTGTTGAAGAGCCGGTGAATCTGGCAGCTCCTCAATGACGAACGGGGCACCTCCTTGTTTATCAATCGCTGTATTGGCTTTTCTACTTTTTTTTTTTTTTTTTTTTTTTTTTTTTTTTCCTCTCCACCCCAAAAAAACTATATTACACTATAGTTTATGGTGCAAATTTTGGAGGAAGGACGCTTTTTCTGTAGTAATAATTGCTTCTCGTTGTGTATAATGCGACCGCTGGTAACTACAGGTTATATGAAATTCACAGTAACGTCTCGTATTTCAAGAAAAGAAACTAATGAAAGTCACTCCACTCCACTAAGTACCATTATAATACTGGTTAGTTGCTACTACAACACTGTATTCTGCTATTCACTGGTATCACTAGATTATATGCGAGTACACTAGCAGGCCAGGAAGATTATTAAAAACAGCTGACCTGTGGTAAGTTTCTGGCGACTTCTGGCACCTTCCTCTATAGGCTTATCACTTCATTTACAAATTCACCTGTTTTCAAATGACACTTTAGCCTTTATCATCAATATACTAGGGAGCCACTGTAGTATACACTATACACTATGTATACTCAATGATATCAGGGAGACTTTCTTTCCTCTGACATGAAAAGTTCAATTATTATTATTTTTTCCACACGGGACACAGGCCTATGATTCCCCTCTGGCAGTAAACTCTGCTACGCAGTGCACACTAATTCTCCTTTTTTGACTCAGTATATAATGTTTTCCGCCCAAGATTGGTTCCAGGCGCTAGAGGGATGTATCGTATAGGATTGATGACACAAATTAAAGTTCTAGCACGTAAGAGCGACCGTGAAAACACGAGAAAGCCGGGAGCACAACGAGGCACGCTGACACGCTGTACCGAAAATCACTCGAAAATCACACGAAAATCACTCACTACGAAAGCAAAAGACTTGGCAGACGATGCAACATCCCCCAATGAAAAGCAGGGGTGTCACAAGCACGTTAAGAGACCATACAATAAGTGTCAGGGGCCCGAGACTGTTCAACTGCCTCCCAGCATACATAAGGGGGATTACCAATAGACCCCTGGCTGTCTTCAAGCTGGCACTGGACAAGCACCTTAAGTCGGTACCTGACCAGCCAGGCTGTGGCTCGTACGTTAGTTTGCGTGCAGCCAGCAGTAACAGCCTGGTTGATCAGGCTCTGATCCACCAGGAGGCCTGGTCACAGACCGGGCCGCTGGGGCGTTGACCCCCGGAACTCTCTCCAGGTAAACAAACCTCTGGCTGTCTTCAAAAAGGCACTGGACAAGCACCTAAAGTCAGTACCTGACCAACCGGGGTGTGGTTCGTACGTCAGTTTGCGTGCGGCCAGCAGTAACAGCCTGGTTGATCAGACCCTGAGCCACCACGAGGCCTGATCTCAGACCGGGCCGCGGGGGACGTTGACCCCTGAAACCCTCTCTAGATATCCCAAAAAATCTCACCCACATGACAACAGGAGAATGCAACTCTTCTTTTTGTAACCTATTTCACCCGGAAATGTGTTACCCGTCAGTCTATGTAAGACAATGCTACAACATACACTGAGGCACACCATCTAAAGGGGACAAGATACAAATCACCCATACCATGAGAAACAAACCTGGGGAGCCAAAACCACTCCAGAGACGGAGGTTTCTCTGTGCCTGAAAGAAAAAAAAAATGGCAAGACATGACAGAAATATTACACGTGACGGTGTCATCCATCGAAGGCAATGCAAGACTTGAAGCGGACATCAACTAAAACTTTAAATGGGCCATGGAAAGGAATATGAAGCTCAATGAAGAGAAATTTCAATTAATCAGACATGGAAAACTCGTGGAAATTAAAACTGTATCGGACCTGAGAGTGATAATGTCTGAGAATCTCACTTTCAAAGATCACAACAATGCTTCTACCACATCTGGTAGGAAAATGATTGGATAGATAATGAGAACCTTCAGAATTAGGGATGTCAAGCCCATGGTGACTCTTCAAATCGCTTGTTCTATCGAGGCTGGAATATTGCTGTACACTAACGGCCCCCTTCAATGAAGGAAGGCGAAATTGCAGATCTGGAGAATTTAGAGAGAACTTTCACGACACACAGAAGTACGATAAAGCACCTAAATTACTGGGAACTGTTGAAGTCCCTATATTTGTACTCCCTGGAATGAAGGCAAGAAAGATACATGGTCATATACGCTTGGAAAATCCTAGAGGGACTAGTCACAAATTTGCACATGAAAATCACTCCCTACGAAAGCAAAAGACTGGGCAGGAGATGCCACATCCCTCCCCAATGAAAAGCAGGGGCGCCACAAGTACGCTAAGAGACAACACACTGAGTCAGGGGTCCAAGGCTGTTCAACTGCTTCCCAGCACACATAAGGGGGATTACAAAGAGACCCCTGGCTGTCTTCAAGGCGGCGCTGAACAGGCACCTAAAGTCAGTACCTAATGAGCCGGGCTATAGTTCGTACGTCGGTTTGCGCGCGGCCAGCAGCAATAGCCTGGTTGATCAGGCCCTGATCCACCGAGGGGCCTGGCCACATTATTATAATAAAAAAGAAGCGTTAAGCTACAAGGGCTATACAGCTGGCCTGGCCACAGACCAGGCCGCGGGAGCGTTGATCCCCGACACCCTTTCCAGGTATTTACCCCGATTTGTACTTGAGAATTGAGTGGCAACCTACTTCAAACCAATCATCACTCAATGCAAAGTGCATGATAATAAACCTACCACCACTTGGGTAGTGCGTTTATCATGTACCTGATAAAGCTCCCTCTACCCTCCCTCGTGCTGTGTATTTTCCTGAATCATGCTGAGCACCGCTACATCTGGCTGGAATTGAATGGATAACCGATTAAGGAAAAAGCCCTGTAGATTATAAAGACGTCTTATAAAACAGTTCTGACAACAGAAATCGCAATGGTTGCGCTTTAGGATATGTGCAGAACTTTTCTTGTTAACCATGCAGTATTGCTAAATATTTATATTAAACTCAGTATACAAAACTAGTTTATAATTATACAATTTTTTTCCTACAGGAAAGTATCCACAGATGGAATTCCCCACGGTTAAACTAGCATTTTTTTTTTACCGTAAAAAAGGTAATCAGTCCCTCAGCCTTGGAGTTGGTGATGAGCACCCACTACACGGACCACACAGTGACAACCCATCCTCTTAACCAGTGGCAGCACTAAGGGAAGTTGGCTTCAGAACAAGTCTCCTAGCCCCCTTTCCAACTAGATTGCCAATCCAAAGCCCCGTTAGTATAGAAATTCTGGAAGCGCAGGTTTTGAATCACAGACAGCATTTGGCTGTTAAGACAGTTAAATGGGGAACTGATGATTCCATTTCTTCCCCGTACCGCGCTCAGTGAGTGCCCGTTTTATCTCGAGATATATTTGCGAAGATAATAAAATTTCTTCAGCCATGAGCGGCATGTCAGATCCCATCAACTCTTAGCATTGCAGCCTGGTCAGTTGTCACCTTAGACCGATGGTGGAGTAAGGTTAGGCTACAAAAAGTTAGATAGGCTTCGTTAGGTTCGGTACTCTTCTATTTGCACAAGAAAATAATCATGGAAAGTTATTAAATATATGATAATCAGATGCATCTTGCAATATGAAATTATGTTCTGGTTATGTTGTACTCTTGATACATCATGATTATGTAATGTTGCAGAGGCCATATGTGGAGTTATCTTACGTGTGCTTGTTGCACAGGTCACGTCATCTGTGTGTATATTTCACAGATCTTGTGTGTATTGCACGGGGGTCATGCCATGTTGCAGAGGCCATGCTATATGTTGCATAGGCCATGCTATATGTTGCATAGGCCATGCTACATGTTGCAGAGGCCATGCTATATGTTGCAAAGATCGTGTATGTACGTTACAGAGGTTATGTCATGTAGTTGAGGCTATGTCGTGTGGAAATGCTGCGATTGTGTGTGTTGCATAAGTCATGGGTGATGTTGTAGGTCATGTTGCAGAGTTCACGTCAAGTTTGTAGCAGAACTCATGTCAAGTTTTCTGCACAGTTCATGTCAAATTTATTAGTCATGTCATGCGAGCATGTCGCAAAATCGCGTCATTTACGTGGGTGATGTCATGCGGATGCACTACTAGTCTCACCAAATGATTTCTGGAACACTGTTCACTTTAATAACAGGTTATGCTCGTATCAACACCTGTCAAACACACTATACTACCTGGCTTAAGTCAGCACCCTTACTCCACAACTATGTCCCAAATACAGATTCCTCTCTTAAATCAGTAGTATCCAAGAATATCACATCTTCCACGTTATAAACCTCACAGTTTCACTTTTTTCCGAGAGCGGCAGAGCACGTCAACCGTCCACTGTGAAATTCCAGCCAACACTGACTGGTCACGCGAACAAGATTTCCTCAGCGCTTCACCTATATAAAAAAAATATCGCATTTGTTTACACTATAAACTATTTACATCTTATCAAGACGAGATGGAATTAAACACCGATGAAATGCGATATTATTTTTGACAAAGTGTGTGATTGTTTTCATAGGTGAAGAAAGTTCGAGGTTAATAAAGGGACCTAACTGGTGAGGTTACGCAGTTGTCAAGGTGCCCTTCAGTCTGTTACGTGTCAAGGTGCCCTTCAGTCTGTTACACGTGTCAATGTGCCCTTCAGTCTGTTACACGTGTCAAGGTGCCCTTCAGTCTCTTTTATAGGTGTCAAGGTGCCCTTCAGTCTCTTTTATAGGTGTCATGGTGCCCTTCAGTCTCTTTTATAGGTGTCATGGTGCCCTTCAGTCTCTTTTATAGGTGTCATGGTGCCCTTCAGTCTCTTTTATAGGTATCAAGGTGCCCTTCAGTCTCTTTTATAGGTATCAAGGTGCCCTTCAGTCTCTTTTATAGGTGACAAGGTGCCCTTCAGTCTCTTTTATAGGTGTCATGGTGCCCTTCAGTCTCTTTTATAGGTGACAAGGTGCCCTTTAGCCTCTGTTATAGGTGACAAGGTACCCTTTAGTCTCTTTTACAGATGTAAGTTTATATTCAAATTTGGCATTTTGAAATGGATTTGGGGGCACAGAGACGTTGTGGGCACATATAAAACAGTATGTAAATGTTATTTAAACTTTAAAAGTTAAAAAAGGCTATAAGATATTACAAGGGAACCCATTGGAAAAAATTCAGACTTTTTTTGGTGTTATCCTTGGTAATGTACACATATACTACTATATATCATAATTTATGTAACTGTATTTATGTATACCTGTACCTGAATAAACTTACAGCCCAATAAACTTAAGTAATGTGAATTATTTTCACTATCATTATTTACATCCTCTTATCAGCGCAAATATATTTATTTCTTGATATTGTAAGTGGAATATTAATATGCTAGTAGTAAGCTAACCACGGTTCGGGTAGGGTTTAAACTCGCGGCTAGCGAGTCATAAAACCCCACCTATTTTACTTATCTATATAGGCTGCCTATAAAATGCTGACAAAGGCTCTTTATCCAAAGAATCTGAGCTAGTTTTCAGTTCCTCAGATCAAACCTGATTGTCCCATCTGACTCTCCAGACACTGTATAGCCCTTGTGGATTTAACGCTTTCACTTACTATAAGATATGCCTTAAACTACTTCATTTGATGGAAGTGAAAGTAGATGGAAGGAGTGTAGAGCAAGTGACAATATATGGAAGGAGTGTAGAGCAAGTGAAAGTAGATGGAAGAGGAAGTGAGAGAAGATGGAGGTAACAGAGGAAGTGAAAGTAGATGGAAGAGCAAGTAAGAGTGGATGGGAGAAGTACAGAAGGAATACAGAAAAGGGAATGTAGAGGAAGGAGAATAAGGGAAGGAGTATATAGGAAGTAATATATTTTCACTCGTAGGAGAACCCGAGTTGGCACTGCCGTAGTTACAACCATTTTGTTTG